TCAGCCCTGGGGCAGCGCGCAGTTTGCCGGGGTAAGGGACCTTTGGTCCTCAGCGCGTGAAAACAAGCCCCTGTAGCAGCCTCACACTGACCTGCAGAGTGTGAACCACGGAGGCACTTCAAACTGAAGCCATTGCACCCAAACAAAGCCATTTGTTGGGTCAGGACCAGCTGCATTTCGTGCAGCACAGCTCAGCCCGCACCAGGTTCGTGGGACTGAGCTTGCCGTGGGAGGCCAGGGCCGGGGGCCAGTGTTGGACACTCCCCGTGGACAGGCGTTAACTGTGCTTGTCAGCACCCCGCCACTGGTGTCAGAGCCCTCCCGTTTCCCCCGCAGCAGTGCCCTGCCTGTCCCGGGGGTTTTACCCCCCTCTTGGGCTTGCAACACCCAAGCATCTGCGGGGACATTGCCCTCTCAGCCCAGGGCAGAGGGCAAACCCACAACGGCCCGGAAAGGAAGGCGGCACAGTCAGGGTGTTGCCCACCCTCCTCCTCATCAGCTGAGGCTGACAGAGCCCAAGCCCATCGTGGGCAGGAAGGATGTGCAAGACCAGCAACCTCACGGGGTCTGGCTCAGAGATATTTGCGGAGGAAACAGCATCGCCATCACCAACCACAAAAACCGGGATCAGCCCCAAACCGCTAAGTCTGTGGGGCAGAGCTCAGGGCTGGAGCGCGTGTGAGGAGCATGGCAGGGCGGCTGCATGGCCTGGTGAGAGCGAGGGGAGCTGCTAATCGAGGAGACAGGGCTGAGGAGGGAGTTTAAGTGCACAGATAAGGAGAACATCCACTTTTGGGACAAACGCCACAGCTCAGGCGGGACATGGCAAGAGCTCCCACAAGCAGCCCCTGCTCGCTGCTCAGCCACAGCGCCACGATGGGAGCACCCCCAGGGACTCCCCTGCCAGACCCTGATGGACACGGGGTGCCGGGGGGGTTGTGGGGCCCAGCCTGGCTCTCGATAGCAGCCTCAGCCCCTGCTCGTGTCGATAGAGCAGGACGGGCTGGGCCCTGCTGCGATTGCCTGTGCTTCCGGGGACGCTGGCAGCGTGGCAGATGGTGGGGCCGGGCGCCCCGCGTGTGTTTGCTGTGGGGCTGTGCGGGCCCTGCCCGGCTGGCGCTCGGCAGCAGGATGAGGAAGGGGCGAGCTAGCTGCACCCTCCCCGGGCGGGCAGGGCTGCAGGTGGGCAGCGAGAGCCCTTGGCAGCAAACAGGCTCTTCCCAGATTAAACAACTCTTCCGGCACTGGGAGAGGGAGCAGACGGCTCCATTGGGGACTGTTTGTCCTGACGCAGGGCAGCTCCTGTAGCTTAACAACCTTCTGATAACAGGCAGAGGCACAGTCGTCGCAGGAGCACAAAGGGCAAGCTGAGGAAGGCTGGGATGGCTCCAAAATAAAGCGCCCTTCCCTTCTCCCCCGACTGACTGCGGAGGGGTGGATGGCACAGCCCCTGCTCACCTCCCTCCTGCTAGGGTCTCCTTCCCAGTTCCCGGGTGCTGGCTTCTGCTGGCAGCCCGGCACGGGGCCTGGCCCTCAAGCCCAGACTGCGCTCGCTGCTGTTCCCCTGCCAGGCAAGCTGGAGGGCAGCCCAAAGGGAAGGGGTTCACGCTGCCCCGGGCCATCGCTGGGTAAGGAGCATCGGCACCCACAGGAGGGATGCGGGCCCGGGAGCCGCAGGGAACGCATGCCCTTTGCTGCTCCGTCTCCGGTCCCTTGGAGGTGAGGCCAGCAGGGATGCTCTGCTAGGAGCGAATGACCAGGCACCAAGTTTGATTAGAAACACGGCTTCGTTAGTTAGCATGGAGGGGAGCTGACAGCCAACCCATGGGCTACGTATGCTCAAGGCAGTGCTGCTTTAGAGGGCAGAGACAGAGTAGGAAGCACTGGAATAGCCAAACCCCAACTGAGCCATCGTTTTCATCGGTGAGTCGAACAACGAAGCATGGCAGGGCTGGTATGTGCCTGTGGAAAGGAGGTGGTAGCTTCAGGCTCGTGGCAATGGCCAGCCTGGAGCCTGAGCCCACAGCTGCCTGCAGCCTGTCCCCAGAGCCCTGCGGCCACTCCAGGCCTGGGCATCCCCTCAGCTACACACACCTTGGGAAGAGCCTGCTCCAGGCAGGCACAGGCAGGGAAATGCCGAGATTCAGACCAGCCTTGCTCTGTGCTAGCACCTGAGCACTGGAGCCAAGTGCATCCAGGAGAGGGGAAAGAAGGGGAAAACGGAGAGCGTGTAAGAGCACAGCTAGGGACCGCGCGTTCAGGGTTATGACAGGCAGATGACATCTGCAGCTGGTTCAACAGATGTCACACCTTCGCGCATCCCCCAGCTCTCCTGTGCAAGCCCCGTTCCTGCACGGCCATCAGCCGGCGCTGCCTGCAGTGCCGGAGAGGAGGAGCGCGTGGGAGAAGCCCTGCGCGCACACAGCTGATGCAACGAGACTGGCTAACCCCACTGCTGCGCCTACTGCGAGGAGCCCCACGGCGAAGCGTTCGCGATCGCGAATTAACCGCAACGGGGTTAATCTAACAACCAGGAGAAAACCCCAAGGGAAAACAAAGCAAGTGTGTCACGAGGAGGCAGGAGACAGGTTGTGGCAGCGCACTGCTCGGGGCCCTCAGCGCATACCCAGACACAGGCATGGCAAAGGCACAGCTCGGCCAGGATGGCTCCTGCATAAGCTGATCCAGAGAAAGGGACATCAGTGAGCTGGTCTCCAATTTTGACTCTTGCCCCTTGCAAAGACACAGCTACAGACGAAGACAGGGCTTAGAGCAGCTCCTTAAATGGCAAGGTGAAGACAGAAAACCCTTACTGGTCTTTACTGGCTCAGCTCTCCGACTCCTTTCCCTGGACGGAGCGCTAGGTGCTGGCAGCGCTTCCACTGAGCTCACTCCCACTTGCGGTCTGAGATCGCTCCAAAGGAACGGGGAGCAGTGGCCATATGCCCATTTAGGAAGAGGGGAGAAAGCGGGATGCATTGTGACATCTGCCTCCAGACAGCACAGACCTTGTCAGTCGAGGCTACAGGAGGATAGATAAAAATACCGGCCACCGCAGGCCTTCGGCAACTCCACTGCTTCTGGAAGTGACAGGAGACAGGCTAATCCTACAGCGATTCCAAGAAAGCGTCCAACAGCGTGGCCTGCAGACCACTACCAAGTATGCCAGCTGAACTTCCTGTTCTCCCGAGGCTGTGTGGGCAGCATAGCTGGGTTTGAGCAGGGAGGGAAACTCTGCCCAGGTGGGAATGGAGGAGCGGGATGCTGCTGTGTTCTAGATGACACAAACTGGAAGCACAGACACCAGCTCTGGGTATGTGGGAAGTTTGGTTGTCGCAGAGACCGTTGCAAAGAGCTGTTGTACTCTGTATCCGCAGAAAACGGGCGTCAGGTCACTGAATGACAGATACGCGTCTAAAGAAATGAGGATCACCTTGACATAAAATAGAGGTTGGTCACGATGGATTCAGCTGCGGGAAAACTTGCCGTAAAACTTGTGGGTTGAACATCATAGCGAGACAGAGACATTGCTCTGGGAAAAGCTGACACCAGTGAGGGTCTGCTTGGGGTGCCAGATCCCACCTGGCAGCGCCTTACACCAACAGCCCCGTTCCTGCTCACCCCCGCAGGGAGCTTGAGCTGCGCTGAAACACCGCACGGCTTCTTCACTCGCTCTTCCCTGGGCAGGGCGCTGAGGCCCTGTGGCACAGCAAGCCCAGCTCAGGCAGTGGCATTTATTTCAGCGGCATTTAACTCTGTGCAGGACAGTCTGAGACAAGGCAAAGCCTGGTACAGGTTATTCCCACCTCCAGAGCCACAGCAGCTCCTGTGAGCGGCACGCCTCCGAGGGCCTGGAAGCAACTTGCTGGGGCTGGAAGCCCTCAGGATGCTCACCCCAGTGCAACCGCCACAGGAGAACACCACAACCGGCACCTGCTGCCCCTCTAATCCTGCTTGGGCCTCGTTCCTTGGCTGCTGCTTGGGAGCCAGGCGGTGGGAGATTAGTCCAGCAGCCCCTCAGCACCCATCCTGAACGGGAACGGGGGAATGGCTCATACCCTGTGAGATGCTGGGGAACCCCTGAGGCTGCTGCAGCACTGGTACGCGAGACCTTGCGAAGACATTACAGCAGTGCGAGAGGATGAAAGAAGGAAAATGTGACAATTCAATAAATATAAGCTTTTATTACAATAGAAAATAGTAAAACTCATGTTAAAATAGACTCTTGCTTTTGGACTGCTCAGAAAAGCCTAAGCCTCACTTTTACCTGCCAGTGCCCACCAAGGTCCTGACCCCTAAGCGATGAGCAACACACTTGTGTGCCAAGAGCCTCACAGCTCCTCCCTCCCCAGTGACAGTGACAGACACAGCAGCAGACTGAGCCATGCCCCACCAGGCAGGCGGGTACGGGCTCTCTGTGGGGCTATTCCTACAACGTGCCTCATCCCCTCGTGCAACCAGGCTCCTGTGTGAGGCAGGAAGCTTTAGGAAAGCCGTGGACAAGAGGGAGGAAAAAAGGAAGAAAGAAAATAAGTCAGCAGCAGATTGTGGCAGCTGTTCCGAGACAGCCGGGAAGGCAGCAGATACACCTGCCAGGAAGACGGCAGCACCCCGCTGCCTCTGGCCTGCTGTTTGCCTAGTACCACGGCATGTCCCACCGAACATGCTCCAGCCTGGCTCCCCTCTTCCTTCAGCAAGGCTCCGTGTGACCCCGAGACCAGCAGACGCTGCCAAGTTAAAACCCCGTGCAGCTCACGCAGTACGACAGGGAACACCCTCCAGCTCCTCCTTCCACGGCCAGCCCAATGCAAGTGAGCGACTGTGCAGTCGGGACCACCACGTGCTCCCCTCCTCCTCACCAAAAAGGGCCAGGGGCAAGAGTAGAGTAGAGAGCAGAGGGCACAGGACAGCAAGGTCACATGGGAGTGGGAGACGCTTGTGCACCACTGCCAGCAGAGCAGCACCCTGGGCTGAGTCCTGCCCGCCTACGGCCAGCACGCTCACTCCAGTCCCTCGTACACAGCCTTCCGTAGCTCGATGGAGAACATCTCCTCCCAGGGCCCGCGGATCCACTCCACCAGCTCTGCCAGGAGCTCAGGGCACTCTGTGCGGATGTGCCAAGTGCTCTCCACCTTCAGCACCTGGGAGGGAGGAAAGAGAAGGAGGTGGATGAGCAGGGCCCAGCCCCAAAGGCACTGATCTTCCCCACCACAGCTTCTAGCTCCTCCCGGTTCCTAAGGGACATCCTCCTCCCTCGCTGCTGCAGCCCTGGAAGTGTCCCTGTGTGACCTCTGTACCACGCTCCCTGCCCCTGCGGAGCAAGGCCCTGGGTTAGGATGGGAGACAACAGCCCCAGGATGCTCTTGACAAGGACGGGATTCTGAGCACAATCCAGCCCCCAGCATCTTGTGCGCCCCATGACCATCTCGGGGTTACCTCATCGTAAAGCATCAGCTTGATGTCACGCGGGCAGAGGCGATAGGTGATGACATTGCTAATGCTGCTGATGGGCTGCTTCTCCTTCAACTGGACGTCGCTCCTCGGAGGCGTTTCTGCCGTGCGGTCTGCATCCAAGGAGGGCTGCACCTGCCACTGGTGATTCTCCTCCAGCAGAAACAGCATGCTCCGGGTGCTCAGCAGGGTCACAGGGAAAGCAGATGCCCCTAAAAGGATGTGAGGGAATAGGAGAGACTTTGCTGAGAGCCTGAGTCACCACAGAACCAGCTTTGCTTTCCATTCCTTCCCTAGGGAAATCCTTTCCGGCAACAGTAACTGGGTGAACAGCCTTACCCAGCTCTCTGAATGAAGAGGGGGACTGGGGTAGCTAAATGTGGCTGGGCTCAACCAGCTCATTGCAGGAGTGTGAAAGACCACCACCCAGCTAGCCTCATCCAGCCTGTATCCTCGTGTGAGGGCAGGGAAGGACACTTGGAGTCCTTTGACCTCTTGAACGAGCCTTTACTAGTCCTCAGTTAAGTCAGGAGCTCCAGCTAAAAGCCGCCTTTTTTTGGCCTGAATTCGTCTGGCTGCAGATATGCGATGGCTGGAACAGACAGCACACACAAAGCTCAATACCAAGCTGGGATGTGCCGTGAGCATGGCAGAAAGCGAAGCCGTTTTGATGAACTGTAGGGAGCGTAAATTATCGTCCAGCTGATTTCAGTGGATGCAAATGAAAAGCACTGGAACTTGGGGATAAGTCGGATGCACAGAAATAGGGAACCGCTGGCAGAACTGGCTGAGGTCACAGGGGATCGCTACTACAGCAACATGTTGCTTTTCTTGTCACTTCTCACTCCTGGGAGTTAGCAGGAATATCAGAAACGGGATGTTTAATTAGTTCTGCTTGGCAGCGGGGCCCCAGCTGGAACCGCATCCAGTTTTGGGCACCATACTCTAAAAAAGGAGAAGAACTGTACAGTAAGGAAAACGCATTTGAAGTTCTCCCTCCCACAGGTTGTTTGTTCAGCTTGAGGAGACCAACAAACACACTTCCCACAGATTCCTTCCCAGTCTCGCTCCCTCAGACCTCCCCAGCGGCAAACAAGGGCGCCCGAGCAGCAACAAACCAGAACGTCATGAACAGCCGGGTTGTTTTTAAGCTTCCCAAGCTAAGATAACGCTGGAATTGTTCACTGAAGACTCAAATCCCAGGTTTAGCACACTTGGCCCTCGGCAAGCCCTGGAACACAACCTGATGGCCTTCAGCATGCTGCTCCTGTCCTATCATCTCGGGTTCCGGACACCTGCTTCTGTTTTCCCAAACGGAGGAGCCTTTCAGCTTCCCACACAAACCAGCTGTGTGTATGACCCTGCAGCTTTCCCACAGCTCAGGGCAAGGATCCAGCCCCAGATAATCTCCAGCTTGTCAGAAATCATCCTGAGGTGTCACCAAACCTGGTGTGCCAGACCAACTGCTCCCTAGAGCCTGGACTTCCATGCAGAGAAGGGCCGGGAGATTCACTGGATATACCCGAAGCAGCGCTGCTATCCTGCACATCACAACACTAAGGAAAGAGCTCCCACTCATGCCCCCGCCCCACATTGCGGCTGGACCAGCTCGTTTCCCACCGAGCGTACGCTACGAACACAGGCACGTGAGCAGTAAGCATGAGGTGTGGGACACCTGGTCACCGACATCTCCCGTACCTTGGATCAGGTAGGCCAGCAGGTAGAAGAAACAAGTGTCAGCTGCAGAATCTGTGGTCTTGGAGTTCAGCAGCGGCCTGGAGGAGATACAAGGGCAGGCTGATCAGGGAAGCACTCTGTTTCCAGTCTAGGTTTGCTGTGAGCTACCTCCTGTTCACTGACTGCTTGGGGAAGGGAGGGACCCATCCCTTCCAGATGTTGCAAAATTCCTCTCTTCTCTTACACTCCCTACCACCTTGCAGCACCAAATGTTTCCTGTAAGGGAGGAGGCTGCCCTATGCCTCTCCCTTCGCTTCCCTCCATTATCTTCTGCTCAAGCTCCTCTGGGAGAGCTGGAGTTGCCCTGCCAGGCTCAGTCCACAACACCCCTTTGCCCGAGCAAGCTGCCTTAACCAGTAACGTAGACCTGGCTGCCGCTCCAGCGGTGCCGCCCCCCGTGCTGCCCCGTTTTGAGCACTACGCCTCCCAGGCACTGCTGGACAAGCACACATCCTCTTCTAACCGAAACCCCAACCTTTCAGAGGCTGTTCTTACCAGAGCCGATGTTGTGGATTCATTTCCACGACGGGGATCTCCTTCACCTTACTCCTGAGCTTAGTAGGCAGCTCCTGCATGAGATCTAAAGAGTGGGAGAAGGTAGACATCTTTTATTGCAAGCCCAAGGGCAGCACATAACAGCTCAGGACAGTTCTCTAGTCTATTGAGAGGCACTGGGAGTTAGGATGCCAGTGGGGTTCTTCCCCAACTTTTTTCTGAGCAGGCAAGAGGCGAATTTCCAGCATACATCCAACTACAGCTCTCCAACAGCAAATCTCCCAAAAGCCTCTCCCCCCCTGCCCCCAGTACAGCTCTACTCTTACACGTCAGCGTCTGCAGGAACTGGTCACAGCAGCTTTGGTTCCGGATCAGCAGATTGTAGGAGGCTTTTGGGTTGTCAAACTCCATCCGCAAGCTCTGGTGGCAGAGCCCCACTTCCAGATGGGAAATATCAGACAGGTAGTGAGAGTCATTCTTCTTCAGCCAGTCGGCAGGTTGTCCCCTAATCACAGAGCACAGCCCTCAGCTGCAGCAGGCTGCCCCATCTCGCTCAGACTGCAGCGGGAGGGTTGCCAGAAGAACATGTCACCACCCTCCAGGGAAAGGCTGGCCCTACCCAGCACTCACAGCCCAGCTGCAGAGTCATGCTTGCCACCATCCTCCTCACCTGATAGCCCCGGTGACTTCCAGAACATAAATTTTGAGATCAGAGGCGACCAGGATGGAGAGGAACTCTCCTTGACGGCCAAACTTCACCACGACCACCTAGAGCAGAGAGGGTGGCTCACAGCACTGGCCTGCCCCTTGCTAGCCCACCCAAACACACTTCAGATCCCTTCACACCCCAGTCTCCAGGATGCCACACCACAGCAGAACTTGCAGGGTGGCAAGAAAGACAGACAAGGATCTGTCGGAGTGGTGCTGCGGGAGCTCACCTTGAGGAAGCACTGGAACTCCTCAGCATTCTCCTCAAAAACTTCCATATCCAGGTACAGCTTCAGGCGATGATCCACAGAGCGGAAGTCCCTCGTGTTCAGGGTGCTGTTTACAGCTGAGGAGAGCCGGGGCAGGGGGGATTACCACGCTGGCTCCTGACCAGCTGCTGCCCAAGCATGCAGGGGACAGCCGGGTCACCTGCTCTGTGCACCCCTTCCATCCAGTCTCTCCTCACGACAAAGGGACACAGCCAGGGCTTTCCAGGCCACAGGTCTCAGTGTGGAGACATGAGGAGACTCCATCACTCCAACACTGGCTTCTTCAGATAAACAAAGCTTTGGTCTAACCCATCTTCAACTTATGCTCAGCTGTTTCATCACAGGAGGACACTGCTTCGCTGCCAGATTTGGCAGAGCAACTCTATCACGAAGCCAGAAAGACATGTCTCATTTCTGCTGGTGTCAGCTCAGGTCAACTTTTTATATTCTGACTTTGACTGTGGTGAGGCCAAAGGGGACTGAGGACACCACCAATAAAACTGCTTGAGAACATACTTAGGTTTGTCACGCGATTGTATGACTAAATAATTTATACAACAGCCATGATACTGCCCAGTACACATTTCCCAGCAGAGCCTGTTCTCCAGCACAAACATTGGCTTCTCAGCAGAAACTGTTTCACAGAATCACAGAATGGTTTGGGTTGGAAGGGACCTTAAAGACCATCTAGTTCCAACGCCCCTGCCATGGGCAGGGACACCTTCCACTAGACCAGGTTGCTCAAAGCCTCATCCAGCCTGGCCTTGAAGACATCCAGGGATGGGGCATCCACAGCTTCTCTGGGCAACCTGTTCCAGTGCCTCACCACCCTCCCCGTGAAGATCTTCTTCCTGATATCCAATCTAAACCTCCCCACTTTCAGTTTAAACCCATTCCCCCTTGTCCTGTCACTACAGGCCCTTGTAAAAAGTCCCCCCTCAGCTTCCTTGTAGGTCCCTTCAGGTACTGGAAGACTGCAATAAGGTCTCCCCGGAGCCTTCTCTTCTCCAGGCTGAACAAGCCCAATTCTCTCAGCCTTCCATCACAGCAGAGGTGGTCTATATCCTTTTAATGTTTCATGGGCTCAGTTTTAAACTGGGACCTTGCAATGTGACCCAAGATAAAAGACTGCTTTATTTCTTCTCACACTTCAAGTGTACAAGAGTGAACGTCTTGTACAAGACGACCAGATAACCTCCACAGCTCCTTTCCCACTTCATTTGCAAATCCCAAGCTGATGCCCAAGAAAAGGCAGTGGGCTCCATCAGAAATCCAAGGCCCGTCACAAAAAGCACGTGTAGAACTCCTGGTAACCGCTGTCTTGCACGACAGCCCTCACGCAGCCAGCACACTATCTCTTCTTTTGGACAGGCTTTGTCACCTGAAGCTCACAGTGACCACTGAGGAAAGGCCAAGTCACTGCAGACCCACTAACCAGAGCCTCCTACGAGCACACCCGCCTCACACCGCACTTAAACCAGAGAATAACGACAGAAACTGTGAATAATGTTCTCCAGGAGTGACGCTCCAGCTGGCAGCTCACCGGTGCCACAGGAACCCAGCATGTCTGTAACCGAGCAGCGCAGCTCGCTGTTACCAGTCTGAGCAATGCTAGGGCTCAGGGGCTGACTCAGTTTTCCCTACCTTCAGGCACGAGGGGAAAACTCTGC